TGAGATGAGATGAGATGAGATGAGATGAGATGAGATGAGATAAGATGAGATAATATGAGATGAGATGAGAGAAGATGTAATGAGTTTAAATGAGATGAGATCAGATGAGATGAGATAAGATAAGATGAGATGAGATGAGAGAAGATGTAATGAGTTTAAATGACATGAGATCAGATGAGATGAGATGAGATAAGATGAGATGAGATGAGAGAAGATTTAATGAGTTTAAATGAGAATAGATGAGATAAAATGAGATGAAATGAGATTACATGAGATGACATGACATGAGATGAGATAAGATAAGATAAGATGAGATGAGAGAAGATGAGATGAGATGAGATGAGATAAGATGAGATGACGTGAGATGAGTGCACAGAGTGGAATGTGCACTCTTTCGTTAGCAGAAGCAATGAACTGCACCAGATTGTCACAGTAAATTGGTTACTGCAAATAATATTCATGTCATTCAATGCATCTAGTCTACGCGCAAATTGTAATGGCCAACTTTGGCCCCTGCTTTCAGACGAAGTACTTTCTTGCTAGGAGCAAACATGTATCCCACATACAGAATCATTGGAGCGCAAGATGTTGCCTCTCTAAAAGCGGTGTTATTGAATAAAATTTGCCATAGCCTATATTAGCCATGATCACCAGTTCTGTATTTCGGCCGCCTATGCATTTACATCACAGCAAACTAGTATCTTCTCAATACAGGATCGCGTACTATGTCGTGGGAACCAATAGACCGCTTTGAAGCCTTTGTGGTTGATGGAACTGTCCGAGCGGAATCGGAGCCACATGAACTGTCCAGTGGAGACCACATCATTTTGTGCCTCGTTGCGGTTGCACAGACGAGCAATAAGTCTAGAGAAGCCGAATTGACCATCCCGGATCTCGAGGAAATCTCGCCGACAGCCTTGTTTGTATTCGAATATGAAGAACTCACGAAAGCTCAGCCTGACGTACTGATCATTTTCTGGAGCTGTAAAAAATGTCATCAAAAGAAGAACAGTGAGTAGTAGTGGCACACTAAATGAAGCTACCAAAAGGTTAAATAAATGCAGAACTGCTTTTTATGCTGGTTAGTTTTACATTGAGCGTAGTCACAATTCACTTAGTATGTTGGTGTTAAAAGATAACTCAAACTGATCTCATCATCTAAAACTTCAATACAATAAAAGCTAATATTAAGTAAATGCATTAGTCATCAATGCTTTATTGTGATATTATGTTTGGGACTTTCATTTTGTATAAAAGTGTATGAAGAAGAGATTCGAAGGTCGATCCCATCAGAAGAGGACTGTTGAATCGCGTTGCACTGCGGTCGTTTGGCTTTTATATGACGTTCATATGATGGACATCATCAGAGCCGGGACTGATTCTTGTAAAATTCTCAATTCTTTGAAGAAGATGTCTTATGCTGAAAGTGGAACTAGCTCTGATGTTTGCTTAGGCTATTGAAGGCTGTCATAAAGATGATATGACGTTTCTATCCAGTCAGTAAATAAGGGATTCAAAAAAATGTAAAAATTACTTTATAGCATTGTTAGGGGGACCTTCATTTCGAATGAAAGTACATAAAGAAGAGATTCGTCTTTCGATCTCACCAGATGAGGCCGGATGAAAATCGTCGTACTGCAGCCGTTTAGCTTTTATATTATATTCATGTTGATGCAGTCCACGAGTATTCCTCCCTCGTTCGGGTGAAAACGAAAGCTCAGCACGTTTTCACCCAAATCGAGGGAGGAATACTCGTGGACTGCGTCAACATGAATATAATATAAAAGCTAAACGGCTGCAGTACGACG